CTCTCAATGCCGTTAGCGGTAAGTTTCAAGCTTGTAGTTTTCTCAAGCACCTGAAACATTCTTTTTGATACATCAGTGAGCAGCTTCGCCACATGGTCAACCACCGTCTTCAGGTCATGGGTTGCTCACGTCTGCTTTGAATAAAAGTTTTTATCTTTACTTGAAGTCGTCAGAAGTCGTCAGAAGTCGGCACCTGGCAAACGTAACGTTGAGATTCTTATCGGGATCGCATTGCAAACAGAACCTATTTGTACGTGTAACCGTTTAATTTCTGGCGAATTTTTGAAACTTGCTTTATCAATTTCTCCATCTCGAACGGAGGGTTGGTAGACAGAGGCATAAGCATTGAAACCTTAAGTGCGAGAGAGCGCTTCGGCTGTTCTAGATTTATGATGCTAATCTTTAAAAAATGAAAATAATTACATGTGCTTTCATGTCGGTTTCTACTTCGATAAATTAATCATTTTGGAAAAAGTATAAACATTATTTTGATATACTTGGCGTTTGACTGATCAACTGGAGGAGCAACCCGGAACACAGCGTTCCCAAATGAATTGACGAATAGCAGTTGAGTCTTCAACAGGTTTTTGGTGTCTTGAAAAGCCCGCAGAATAACATAGTTCATATTGCTCTTCTCTAAATGGGTTCTGGCCTCCGTATAGTACAATTTCATACCCTGTACTAGCCATACTGAACTTCTGTGGGAGACGTCAGAAGTTGACATCATAAAATTGAATCATCAAATCGATTTATTTTTATTTTTTTTCATCAAATCAGTCGTTATGATTTAAAAAGATACCTACATGCTGCTGGTTCTATGCTCAGCTCCACGGTATTGTCTTCGTTGCTTTTTTCCTCTATGTTGTCCTCTCTAGCACCGCTGTGTATTAGAACAGAAACGTGGAAATGGCCTTGAACAAGGTCAATTGTTCTTTGTGGGTCAAGGTTCCGTTTCTTTTATTAGGCAGTGATTCGTCTTCTCGCCAGTCTGTAAAATGATTTCTCTGAGAGTCTCGTTATTATCGGGTTTTCGGCTAGGGAGGTTTTTCAAGATTTCTAAAATTTCGGTATTTCGTTTAACAAATGTTTTTTAGTTTGTTTTATGTGTTTGCTTTCAAAATTACTTCTTCAACTTACAGTTTCTCCTATATTCTCTGACTCTGCAGGATCCTTTTGCGGCTGCCTGTGGGCTCGTGGCTCCTGTGTTCTCGTGGTTCCGTAGAACCCTTGGCTCGTGGTTAGTTAGGTGGGAGTGTGGGTTCGCCTCTCAATGTCATGCGGTTGCCTTTCAATTTCTCGATATAGGGGAAATGGCGATGGCGATGCAGAATTCGGATAGGGTGATGCCGACACATAGGAATCCATGTAGGCTGGATATTGCTGATACTGCTGAGACTGGCGTTGATGTACAATCGAGGGGCCTGAATGGAAATGTCGCAGAGGGGTATGTGGCTGCCCATAGGTCTGCAGAATTGGCGAGGCGAAAGGTCGCGAGGGTGCTCGAAAGGGATTACCGGTGTCGGAAGAGAAAATTATGTTGTCTCTGGTGCTGCGAGTGGTGATGGAGTGGTGACACAGGGATTTTAAAAGGAACTGCAAATGGTGATAGGGAATTGGAAGGCACTGAACAAGAGCTTTCGGCGTTCATCATTTTACTTGGTTTCTACTAGAATCGGATGAAAAATGAGAGATGCAACTAATATTGAGCACAAGATGAGGATGAACTGATTTCAGTTTAGCGGCCAAGCTGCCATCAATTATGAGCACCAATTCAATCGAAACACCAGGATCAAGAAAAGAGTCCAGCATAGAATTGCTCCGACACTACCCACTTTTTTTGGCACACCAGGCGACTGTAGCATCTATACCAAAATTACTGCCTAAAGATAAGACGCTATTTGATAATGACCGCTTCACTGATAAGCGGAACTAGACAGTGCAGTTCTTACCTGTGAAGGTGTCATTATCACTGACGCATTAGTCCTGCGTCAGTGAAGTTGTCATTACTCATTTCTTGAACCAATCCTCATTTCATTTCAACCATTCAATCGCTCCTCAGTTACGTCAAAACAGAGCCTTTCATCCATGCATTATGCTAAGTAGAACTTTTCGGGTAAAGAAAAAAGTGCAAATCCTCGTTGCCGTCACTTCCGTCTGGGAAAATGCTTTATTTATTATCATTATTCAGCGATTGGTGCGTGAAGGTTAAATGGTCTGATTGACAGGGAAGTGCCATCGTTAGCTTCCTAGATGACAGAAATGAAAACGCAGCAGCATGGAATATAAAAAAATTCCACGAACACAATGATGCTTGTGTCACCAGCAGAAGGCGGAATTCGAGAAAGAAGAACCCACGGTTCATTTCCAGACGGCTGCACAGGGACTTGATGGTCTTTTTTGAACATGCTGGGAGTGTCAAAAAAGAGATTGTCATCATGAACGAAACTTTCGTGTCCCACTGCGGGGACTTCACCATTATGCCAAGGCAGTTTATACGTTAAGTAGTCCGATTTGTGAAACGAGTTGCAATGCGAATCAAGGAAACGAGTTGTATAATCAACGCCAGACGATTTCAAAAAGTTCATGATTAAAGATGCTGAGAAACCTAGACCCGAAAAAACCCTCAGAGTTCAAGACAAAAAAAACAGAATGATATTTTGATTCTCCTTGATTATTTTGAGTCGCCAGAAACTGATATTCCCTTAAAGTTTGCGGTACATTAATGATAAAATCATTAAGTAACTCCTCAAATATGTAAGTAATCTACTAAATAATCACATCCAACTATCCGAATAATCCGTATCTGATCATCGATTTCATCTGATATCCTGAAAACTTATGATGGCTTTCCAGATGCAGCTGATTCTTATTATTATCGGTATAAAAAATTACCGTGTTCTAATCATACACCGTTTTCTAATTTGAGATAATAGCTAGGGTCGACTATCCTGCGCGCCGGAGAAAGTTCCGTGTTGATTATTTGAAATTCGATTGCACAAAGAAACGAGCATTTGCTGGAATGAGTTCCACCGAAAATGCGGCTGTCTTCCTGAGAACGCCTTCTGTTATGTCGGAGCTTGCTCAAAAAGATTTTGGTATTCAGTAGTTTGCCTCAATTTCAACGATTGTCCTCAAACAAATATGTTTTTCATGTTCCTGCTGTTAGATCGATGTGATGTGAGTAATTTCACTCACCCAAGTAGCCAATTTTTTTGACGTTTTCGGTCATAAAAAGATGCGTTGGCTTGATGAGGAAAAAATATGGCAAACTTTTATTTTGGTTCCAGCTACACCAGTAACCAGAAAGCCCAATGATTTATCATTCCCATAGTTTGCTGCTAATTTTTGTGGACATTATAACCTCAGGTTTTTTCAGATTCCATCAATCTTGGGGTTCTCTGCTTGAGGAAAAATGGGATTTGTTGCCAGTAAAAAACGAACGTGAGCTCGAAACTCTGATCAAACAAACCTCTCAAGCTCAACGAACACAGAGATTCCTCATGAGCACAATCCGATGCCATATAAAAGCATGCCGTGGTAGGTGTGCCGTCGAGGAAAACTACCGAGAAGTATTCAAACATAATTTGTCCGAGTCCGCCCAGGATTTTTTTTAATGACTTGGAGTGAACAACTTGAATTGTTTGTACCGTTTGTTGTTATGAAAGTTTGTTATTGTTTGAGCTCTTCAAATTACGGTAAGTTGCCGTCTTTTTTCTACTGTATGCAATATGTGTTATGAAACTTAAGCCGGCCCATCAAAGTTGCTCATAGGGATTGAACTGTCTATTTGGTGTAACTTGCTCATAGGGAGTAAATTATCTATTTAAAAAAAACTAATATGAGTAAATCCATTTCCGATAAAAAAATAACAAAACTTTAACAACTACAGCTAAAGTAAATTTTAATTTAAAAAACAAAAATATGTTCCTAAAAACGTTGCCTTATCAAACTGTATATTCGAAAAATGAAAATACTTGAGAAAGGCTAAACTAAAATTCTTTAATGTTTTTTTTTGAATTAATTGATTGAAAAGAACTGATCAAAATAGAGCGAGTTTCCTTTATAGTTTGTTCAATTTGTTCACTTTGCAGGAATTCAGATTGATGGCAGAAATTGAGATCAAAATTGGGCTGATAGGAATTGGGATCGAAGTGGTATGTTTGACATGAGTTGAGATCGAATTTGGGTTACAGTAATTGAGATCGAACTTAGTGACGAAAATTGAGACTGACAAGTTTTTCAACTGGTATCTGATCAACGTAGTAATTGAGATTGAACTTGCTGAAGTTCACTTATTAAATAAAAGATAAAAATTAAAACGTTACCGCATACAAATTGCGGATTCCGCATAAAATTTGCGGATTCCACTTACAGTCTGCTGATTCCATTGACAATTTGCGGATTCCACTTACAGTTGTCGATTCCTCAATAGCTCGATTTAACGATACAAATGTTTTATCATTTGTTCGTGGATTCGATGAAGAGTTCTGGATTCCGCAAATACAGTTGCGGATTCCGCAAATTCGCCTAATTTTGGAGCGATTTTGAGTGGTAAAATGTGTCAGGTATTTGTTTGTGGAATCCAGAACAGCATACAACATCAAAGAAAAGTATCAATTTTGGCCTGTTGCGGATTTCGCTTACAATGCACAGTTTGAAACGTAATGGTCAATTTTTTCCGGTCGCGCCGGACTTTTCACCTCGACAGTCGGGAGTTGCCATTTGTTTTCGCGCTAATTACTAAATTCGCGCTTGTCACAAACTTTGTTTGGGGTCGCGTTTGTATTTTGATACACCAAGATTCAGTCGAGCTGGTCTTAAATTGCCCATTTTAAGTCGCGCCGATCTGGAAATCTCAAATTTGGGTCTTATCTTAATCTTGGTCAGAATCGAATCGTTTTCAGACTGGAGCCTCTAGCTACTCTTAAAAAAACGCGCATTCTGGAAAAGTAGTTATCGGAAACATTTGAAAACTAAATCGAAACTATTTGCATTCTCATTCTATTTACATTTTTATTCAAGACAACTAAACTTACTTCTAACACAGATCTGACGTTGAGATACAAAAACTACATTATTGAAAGGTCATCATAAAATTATGAAAAACATAAAAATTATCTTCAAGTTTACGCGTAGTAATTTTCATTGATTGATGATATACACTTCCAAATGAAGTTTATCATTTCTGATCCAACCGCTTTTGTAAAAGAAAGTTTCTTGCAAACTCATGAAATCATCTGAACAAACAGCATACGCGCCCATCTTACTGCAATATTTCACGCTATCTTGTTTTATTTCACATTTCATCTCTTTCGATTTGTTTCTGTCATTCCAGTTTAGAAGTTTATATTTGACCACTAAATTATGCAAATGCTCTTCATTTCGTGTGCCAATTTTCCAGCAAAGTGTTTCATCAGCCTTCCAGGTTTTTAGCTCGTTTTCTTCCGTCTTTTCAGCAATCGAAGCCGACACCGAAAACCTGAATCCGCCCAATTCCATTAACTGTTGGCTATCGTTCAAAAAATGTGGAAATTGATTAGAAATTGGAATTTGGGCAGAAAATCTGAAACCCGCCTCTGAAATCAGCAATTTACTATCTTCTCGTTTCATCAACCGAAAAGCTGATGAAAATGTCCCGGACTTAACATTTTGAAGAGTCCCAGCCTTGACGTTTTTCACCCATTCTTTGTCGGCTGAGAGAACTTTTGGCTCAATGACCAGTTTTTCCACCTCGTCGAGTTTTTTCTGGTACAACTTCATCATATATTTGTGATAAGCAACTTCTGATTTAAGCTGCGCAATATTTTTGGTCAGAGCTTGGATTTCTACTTTATTTTGAAGTTTTTCAACCCTCTGAATTGCTGACGAACAAATATTATCAATAACGTTTTTCAATATCTTCAAATTGTGATCTTTATGATACAGACTAACGCATTGTGTACACGAAGGTTCTCGACATGTGACACACCAAAATTCCTGCTCCCATTTTGTGTGCATGCGGCAGAAAGGCAACGTAATTTTGACCGAGTTTTGCGGACTTTGCCACAAAGCCTCCTCGTCTTGCTGGCTCGGTGACAAAAGTTTCAAGCCATCTCTTATTTCGAACATGGGCTTTAGGTCCACTATGTTCACTGCGTGTTCCGCGTTGCAAATTGCACATTTCAGTAATACTGCCCTAAAACACAGTCTGATGAGTTTGCTAGTTTCATAAAACAAAAATCTTCCCGATTTCTAGATTGACTATTAACAGGCAATCCTTTAAACAGACGCCTCAAGAAGTGCGTTTCGCTGATTTTATATTCGAATCCGGTTTTTTGTTTAAGATAAAGATCATTTATCCACGAGGGATAGTACCAACATACGAGCTGTACAGTTCATCACGGCGAACCGCTGTTGTGCCCCTGCTTAAGAACTACATGCAATTTTTTTGGTTTTTCTGGGCTGGGTAATGTTGCCTCACCCTCAAGCAACGAGCACGGATCATGGTGGGCCTCGAACATCCGACCTTTCGATTGAGAGGCGGAGACGTAACCACTTCACCACTGCTCCCCTTTTTCTGCTTTCCAATAAAAAAAAGTTGAGAGAATAAAATTTTTTTACGAGAATTCAAAAAAATTTACCTTCCTGTCCAGGTTCCTTGACGGGTTCAGACTTCAAGCCAGGTTTCATGCAAAAATTGAAAAATATTTTGGCTTCCGATCACATCATATTCGTATTCTGTACTGAATCATTTCGGAAAGCAATTGTTACAAAAAAAAATTGTTGCTAACTCCTTTCTTGATCTTTTAAAGGCATCATACTCCGTCAGCCACAGTTTTATAAAGTTTAAAGTTCCAAATATAGGTATCTCAAAAATCTCGATTGATATGATTGAACTTTTTTGAACGATTGTGAACGATAGAAAACAAAAAAATCATACAAAAATCAATGATTTTCTTCAAGACGTTCAACAAGGTGCATTCCTTGGACCACTTTTTTATTCTACATAGTCTGAACTACCCAATATCAAACGGATGCCAAGGTTCAACACGCCAAAGTGTTCAACTTAACATAAGCTGTAAGACTCTGTCCAAATATTTCGAAAGGCATTCATTAAATTTGACTTTTGAAAAACTTTAAAAAAAAACAGAATTCATTGTTGCAGCAAATTTAGTAAATTTCAAATTATTAGATAAAATTTTCCACCGAAACTGAGAGAGTTGAAGAAAAACCATTTGTCAATATTCTTAGAGTTCTATCCAATCCAACTAAAAAAAAACAAGAAAAAAAGCTTAAGAAAAACGGCATGGTATTTCAATATTAAAACCTATAAGAAAGCCCTTACCAAAAACATTAGACGCTGCCAATAAGCGCCCTCTTATGTGAAGCCACTAACACTAGCCGGCTATTTTACTCAAAGAAAAAGCAAAAAATTGAGTTGTTTAGAACAAAACGAAAAATTTGTTCCTAGCTTATATATCAACTTAGATTATCCAAACATCAATAAGTAAACCTAGTCGTAAAAAAGTCGTCTCAAACAGCAATACGAAATTTCTTTTAATTTTTTTATGATAGCTCTACGTGTTTGGAACAACATACAAGAACTTAATATATATTAAAGAAATTTTTATCGTATTTTACAATTCATTATCAAAATGTTTAATAAGCTTTTATTTCAAAAGAAAATAGTGGCATCCTATGGAACGGGTACATACAGGGTAATCTGAAAAATTTAAAGTTTAAAATGCTTACAGTTTTTGAAGTGAAAGTCCTATTAAAACCATTTCTGAAAAGAGTACTTTTTCAACCATCAAAGAGTATACGAAAACAAAGATTTTAGTTGATAGATACTGTGGAAATTATCCACAATTAGCCAAGATACTTTTTGCCCTTTTCCACAGATGATCAACCGCTTTAAAAAGTTCCGTGCTTTCTACTGCGCGGGTCACCGTTTCAACTCAATCTGTAAGATCTGGCAAACTTCTCGGGTTGACTCTATGAACTTCTGATTGGGTCCATCCTCAGAACCAAAAGTCGAGGGTGTTAAGGCACAGACTCTGTGGTTAAGGTCCAGACACCTTGGTTTTTCCTTGATATTTGTACTTTTCAAAACTATGAGGGTTGATTGGTGACCAGAACCGGGTGTTTTGCAAAATTGGTGCGGTGTCAAGCACCCGACAATTTATGTCTCCACAAAATGGCCCCACAAGATAGGTTTTGGTCGAAGGATGATTCATCGTGAAACCAATTGATTTATTTCGTTTATTTTATTTCGTTTATTTTGTTTTTTTTTTCCCTTATTTTGTTTTATCACTTATCACTTCATTTTTCATACAGATTTTTTTAGGAATTAAGTATTTTTAATGATAGAAGTCCATTATTGCCCTAGACGCTTTAAGCTCCTGAGACTTTTTTAGCATGATCTCCAAATTACTCTTCTAAAATACAAAAAAAACACCGGACTGGAAAAAACTTATTTACCGGGTTTAAAATGAATAAAAGATTGAAAGTTTTTCAGCAGACCGGCCACGAAACAGTTAATCAAGTAAACGTTAATTTCCAAGGCGGCATCGACAAAAGAAGTTGATTAACAAGCTAAAAAAAGTCAGAACTTTGCAATCGGTCATAGATTACCTCAGCTGGCTCTCATGATGGTCACTTTTGGTCTCGTTGTCGCTATGCAACAAAACTGTTCTGCTGTTTGGTATCATTTGACTAGACTCATGATCCGATTCATGGTTGACTCATGAACCGATTCTTTTTGACCGATGTTTCGCCTTTTTGACTGAAGTTTTTTTTGTCAAAAACCTAAAACCGAAACCTCAAGAATTGGTTGAAACAGAGCAGTTTTTCGATTTTTGATTTTCTTGAGTTGTTAAACTCAAAGGCCAAAACAGACAAAGAGGGAATAAACGAGTTTAAATGCTAGCTTCCGATAAAAAGTGCTGTTTGGTAAATCATGCGGTAATAATAGCCCTTTTTAGGTCCGTATATGTGAACAAACTCATCTTTGAACCAATATTTCAAATGTTATTTTCCTGGTTGACGATAATGCTTGCCATTCAGATTCATACATGAAAAATGGCTTGTAAACAATTTCTTACAACGAAAAAATGCTTGCCATATAATTTCATACTATGAAAATATTCGAATCACTGATCTTCATTTATGAAAAAAAGGCCGGCCATTTAATTTCATACTATGAAAAAAAAAAATTACATACTTTTTAAGATTAGAAAAAAGCGCTTACCATACATGTTCATTCTATGAAAAAATTCTAATCATTTATCTTCATATTATGAAAAAAAGCTGGCCATAAAACTTTATACTATGAAAAAGTGCTTACTATACAGTTTCAAACACAGTTTGTCATTCATCTTAACATTCTGAGCAAAAATTGCTCTGTTTTTGTCTCCACCTATCTTGTGAAGCCATATTGTGGAGACAAAAAATGTCGGGTGCCTGACACTGCTCCAATTTTGTAAAACACCCGGTTCTGGTCACCAACCAACCCTCATAGTTTTGAAAAGTACAAATATCAAGGAAAAACCAAGGCGTCTGGACCTTAACCATAGAGTCTGTGCCTTAACACCCTCGACTTTTGGTTCTGAGGATGGACCCAATCAAAAGTTCATAGAGTCGACCCGAGAAGTTTGCCAGAGCTTACAGATTGAGTAGAAACGGTGACCCTCGCGGTATACAGTTTCAAACTATGAAAAATTGTTTGTCATTCTTTTTCATTTTCTGAGAAAACAAGGTTGGCCATACAATTTCATACTTTGAAAAAAAATTTACCATACGTTTTTAGGCTATGAAAAAGTCCTTGCCATGCAATTTTAAACTTTTAAAAAACGTTTATCTTTCATCTTCATATAATGAAAAAAAAAATCATGGCCATACAAATTCATACTATGAAAAAAATTACCATACTTTTTCAGACTAGGAAAAAATGTTTGTCATTCATCTCCATATTCTGAGAAAAAAAACCCCTCTACGTTTTTAGACTATGAAAAAATGCTTGCCATACAATTTCAAACTTTGAAATTCAATGGCCGTCTTTTTTTTCATAATATGAAGATAAAAGAGAGGAATTTTTTGGATAGTGTGAAATTGTTACGGTAAGCACCTTTTCAGAGACTAAAAATGTATGGTAAGCTTTATTTTCCATATTCTGAAATGGTATTGTAAGTATTTTTTCCTAGTCTGAAAAAGTATGGTAATTTTTTTTTCATAGTATGAATTTGTATGGCCAGGATATTTTCTCATAAAATGAAGATGAAAGATGAATTTGTTTAAGACTAGGAAAAAATACTTACAATACCATCTCAGACTATGGAAAATAAAGCTTACCATACATTTTCAGTCTCTGAAAAGGTGCTTACCATAACAATTTCACACTATGCAAAAAATTCCTCTCTTTTATCTTCATATTATGAAAAAAAAGCCGGCCATTGAATTTCATACTATGAAAAAAAAATTACTTACTTTTTCAGATTAAAAAAAGTGCTTACCATACAATTTCATACTATGAAAAAATTGAGTAAAACTATGAGTAATATTTCTTATAGAATCAATAAATGAAAACTCATTGATAGGCAACTTTCTTGCATGGACGTCGACCCGCTGATAAAAGCAAAGCATTTTTTGGCCAAACAAGTTTTCACAAGTTAATAAAAATAAACAGTTTTGCCTACCCATTAGCGTTAGTATTCTGTAGACTATACAAACACAGACGAGGATGACCGCAATACATATGACCACAAGGTAGTATTCTGGGGTCCCAAAACACATCACAGCAAATAGAGCAAGTAAAGTTGTCAGTGATGTCTTTCCGTGTGAAATCTCCTGATGAGCTGCACGCCATTTTTCAACACTTCAGAAAGTTATTTGTGAGATATTCTGACGGATCAGCAGTTTGGCTGGGGAAACTTGAAGGGGTAAGTATACGCTGGCTGTTGGAGTCTAAAATATCATAAACTTTTGAAAACCGGAACAGAAAATTGGTACACCTTGGTACATTTTTTTCGCAATAATGAGTAGTGTTATTTCATTTGAGAATTTTTTCTAGCAAGCTTTTATTAAAAAGGTCAACAGTGCACTGATTTGATTTCAATTCAAGTTGATGGCTTGAAAAATTGTAAAATTTTTGAAGCCAGCTAATAAGCAAACTTTCGAAACAATTTAAAAATTTTGATCTAAAACTTTGATCTAAAACTAGGCCTGATAATTGTAAATTCAAAATCACACGCCATTTTTGTTCTTGACGTGCGTTGAAAAGTGACAAGGCTTCTATTATGACTGGAAGGAAGTTCAAATCTTAGTTTCGGCCATCGATATTTTTTTTGCTGTGAGATGTCAGTTTTTATGATGAAAAAAGTCAAACCCGGGCCAAGGTCAAATAAGGTCGGGTCAAATAAACCCGAACAGTAACAGCCGCACCGATACTGAAACCGAGAACAATAGTCTGAACTGCGTTTTTTAGTCGCGCACAAAGTCTGGAAATGTCGTAAACCGGTCGACTGATTTACGACATTTCCAGACTTTGTGCGCGACTAAAAAACCCAGTCCAGACTATTGTTTTCGGTTTCAGTATCGGTGCGGCTGTTATTGTTCGGGTTTGTTTGATCCGACCTTATATGACCTTGGCCCAGGTTTGAATTTTTTCATCATTAAAACTGACATCTTACAGCAAAAAAATATCGATGGCCGAAACTAAGATTTGAAAGTCCTTCTCGTGATAATCTGAAATTTAATTACATCCGGCAATTCGTCGCGTCATAGTCTTGAATCTAGTCGAGGTATGGCCGAAAATTAATTAATAACCTTATAACTTTGATACCTTTAATTTTATGAATCTTATATTCTATTTAGTTTAAGCTGTTATTTCGTGCGGTAACGGTTAAAGGAAATGCAAAAGATTCACAAGAGTTTTATAAAGCATTTAGCGGTAAAGGTTAGGAGGTTTTATGCAGGTTTTTGAGTTAAGGAGGTGTCTCGTTCGTTTTTGCTCTCAAGTCGGTACATCGTCTAAGTTATTCTAACGTCATTGATTGACCTAAGGTGTCTATGGCTTCGATAACAGTCAATAATGTCACAATTTGGAGGCTCCATGGGACTGTCCGTCGGGTCGTACTGGTTTTCTCGCACTATCGGGTCAAATTCAACCTTCGTGTGTGGCGATGTAGAAGAGTGGATAGAAAATGCCGTCTATATGTTCTTTGCTTTATTTTGGGTCGTAAGATTTACGATGGTTACCAGCGGATTTTCTAATTCAATTGGTACGGCCTCAAATGATGAAATAATAGGAGTCTTTATGCAGTTTGACGAGGGTTCGCCCGATCTCTCCTCGGAATCTTCCACTAGGCTGTAAAGATTCGTTCTCCCAACAAGGATGGACGCTGTATAGTCCGAATTGGTCTGGTGTTATGCCCAATGTGGAGATCCGATATCTTCCGTGGAGGTGGTAACTTCATAGGGGAGAATGATTTTCTCTTGGCCATCCCTGTAAGGTTTGAATTTGAGGAGCCTAGAAAAAGATTTGAATTGGATTCAACTTTCTTACAATGTTGATTGTCAAGGTTAACTACGACTTTCTTACTTCGTCGTTTTGTTTCCTTTTCTCTAATTAGTGGTCATCCGTCTCTTCCTGGCTGTCTAATAAAATAATGGTTGGTATCGAGGGTTAATCGGCGCTCGGATGCCAGATTTGCTGCTGGAATGTAGTCAGGGGTTGAATTCTACACAGTGATGGGCTGCAGATCCTCTGTTGATTTATATTCTCCTTTAATGTCAGATGATTTGTGAGCTGAAGGGTTTTGTGTATAATCGGAGTTTCATACAATAGACGGCTTGAGATCTTTCTAGAGAATTAAATCATTGCAGTCGTCAACTTTCATGGTCTTTATTGACATGTTCAAACATAATCGTATGATAATTTCAGCTTTTTCTGATTTTTGGCCTTGTCCGGGCTGTCCCGACGGTATCTGATCAAAGTCGCTTTCGGTAACAATTAGGAAACTGAGGCGCTTCTTTTGTGCTTTTTCCTCTCGTAAGAGGATCTTCCTTGAATTATTCCCTGCCGCATTCCGTCTGGCGATTTCCAGTTGTTCAAATTTTGTATGGAGATTTTGTTTACTTTCGAGCTTTTGAACCAACATTTCTTGCTCGCTTCACTATTCTATTTGGTCTTTTCGTGGCATAGAATTATACCAGCTGCCTGTTCTGTCAGAGGTTCGCCTTCTTTTGGTCGGCTGATTTTTAGAGAGCTAAAACAGATTTACGGGTTATTGTACACTTCTTAAGAGTTATAGTATGTTCCGATTCCCTCACTATTTCCTCTTGAAACCTTCATAATACGGTTCGTCATTTTTTCTTTAATTTTTCTATAGAAAATGGTCTCACGCGTTGGGTTCGCTCAGCAAGGGATTTGCAACCTCTAGAGCTTTCTGTTTCTCTGCGCGTGAGGGAAATTTTGGTAGAGAACCCGAACAAGAAGTTACATATTTAGAAGCATTCGCGACATCGTCCTATGAAGAAGAGTCATCGTCTAGGTGACAATCCACTATGTCGTCTAACCAATCGTCTCGGCTGTCCGGGCTCATTACTTTTTTCTTTATCTATTCGGAACTGAGTTTTTTCTCCAATTTAGGTTTTTTGACGATGGGGATTTCACAAGGTTTTGCCAGATAGTGTTTGGTGATCTACCAAAATGGGCTTTAAAGAGAAAGCTTTTTAGAGATTGTTGAGTTGAAATTCTTAAACAGTGCTTATTCTAAAGAAGGTTTTGTTGCCATAGCCATAAGTTGTTCTTTGATTGTTCTAATCAGCCTCTCGACTAAGCCTGTAGCTCTGTGATTGCCCACTTGGCAGAATAAAACTTCTATATTTTGTTCATAGCAAAGTTCGCAGATTTCTTTCGAAACAAACCCCAAAGCTTGGCCCGTTCTAACAGTTCTAGCTGTCTCATGTAACGTTAAGAATTTTTAAGAAAATTGATGACCGACTTTGCTGATGTACTAGATAATTTTCGAGCTAAAGGAAATTTAGAAAATCGATCTTTGCAGACGATTATGTGTTTTTTGTTCCCCAAGTCAGAAGTAACGAACCGGCAAAATTTACTTCCATTTCTTGGTTTGGATCAACGACTAGTGGGAATTTTCCGAGGTCTCTGTGCTTTCTTAATGGCTTAAGATTTGTAACTGCTTTTACGCACTCCATGAACTTGGATTTCCCGATATTTTTTCGGCCACCAAATGCAGAGTGTCGCCAGGCTCTTCATGGCGATTTGGAAAGGTTGGAATTCGTAAAGTTTGTGTAGCTCAGTAGGCCTAACGGGTGCCGGGATAACGAGTCTTCCATCAAAATAAAGTCATTCCCCATTAACATGTAAGTTTTATTTATAGAGTTTATAGTAATTTCCCATCTGTAAAATGTTTTGCTTTCGTTTTTAGTCTAAAAATGTAACGTTTTTTTTAGTACAAGATCTTTTTTTGTGAGTAGAGCGATGAATTTTGAGTCAAAAATTTAGGGCAAACAGAGTGTGAACATTTTATGCTTAATCTTTTCTGGACTTTCCTCATAAGTATGAGTTCGGTCTTTCAAAAGCCCATTGGGTAGCTTGTGCTGGGTAGTGGAAAAACTTTTTTACAAGTGGATTCTCTTGATTAGGCTGGGTCTGTTCAATTGAATCTGGTCGTCCTGACATTTCTTTTAGAAAAACAAAGTTGCTTGGAAAATCAACTATTTAACAGGATGGAGAGCAGTCTTCTGTATTTGAGTGAAAACTTTGGCGAACTGAAATTTAATGGTGAGAGGAATAAAGTGGACACACCTTCTGCAGCGTTCTCAATTCATTTCTTACGTCCAGTTTGTTGCAAATTCAGGTTTTTGTTCAATTGACCAATCACGTTGTAGTATTTTGAGTTATATGACTCGGTTTTTGAGAGAATTTGTCTCTTATTTCAGACCGGTAATATCCAGGCATGAAGTTCTTAACGCCGAGAAGGAGACTAGTGTGATTTAGTGAGGCATAAGAAGTTTTTCTTCATCATATGAAACGGGTGCGGGATCGCCTTATGGATGTCTGGATAAATATTCAACGAATCCCATTTCTTTATGCAGGTTGACGAGGGTTCGCCCGATATCTCCTCGGAATCTTCCACTAGGCTGTAAAAATTCGTTCTCCCAACAAGGATGGACGCTGTATAGTCCGAATTGGTCTGGTGTTATGCCCAATGTGGAGACCCGATATCTTCCGTGGAGGTGGTGACTTCATAGGGGAGGATGATTTTCTCTTGGCCATCCCTGTAAGGTTTGAATTTGAGGAGCCTAGAAAAAGATTTGGATTGGATTCAACTTTCTTACAATGTTGATTGTCAAGGTTAACTACGACTTTCTTACTTCGTCGTTTTGTTTCCTTTTCTCTAATTAGTGGTCATCCGTCTCTTCCTGGCTGTCTAATAAAATAATGGTTGGTATCGAGGGTTAATCGGCGCTCGGATGCCAGATTTGCTGCTGGAATGTAGTCAGGGTTGAATTCTACACAGTGATGGGCTGCAGATCCTCTGTTGATTTTTATTCTCCTTTAATGTCAGATGATTTGTGAGCTGAAGGGTTTTGTGTATAATCGGAGTTTCATACAATAGACGGCTTGAGATCTTTCTAGCGAATTAAATCATTGCAGTCGTCAACTTTCATGGTCTTTATTGACATGTTCAAAGACAATCGTATGATAATTTCAGCTTTTTCTGATTTTTGGCCTTGTCCGGGCTGTCCCGATGGTATCTGATCAAAGTCGCTTTCGGTAACAATTAGGAAACTGAGGCGCTTCTTCTGTGTTTTTTCCTCTCGTAAGAGGATCTTCCTTGAACTATTCCTTGCCGCATTCCATCTGGCGATTTCCAGTTGTTCAAATTTTGTATGGAGATTTTGTTTACTTTCGAGCTTTTGAACCAACATTTCTT